TCAGATGACAAACCACACTTTCAATAAACAACAACAACAAAAAATCTGTCTAGTGATGAAATGTTTTCTGTGTTGAGACAAATCTTGTGCGATGTCCTAAACTGCCTGGATAATCACACAACGTGTGCTGTGGTCCGTTAATGACACGTCTGATTCGCAAACTAATGACTCCTTTGAACCGATTCATTTTAATGAATGGTTAAAACTACTGATCTGTCCAACACTGAACTCAAGAGACATAAATCAGAAACACTTTACAATAAGGTCCCATTTATTAAAGTCTAGTTAACTACACTATTTAACATTCTATTAATATTAGTTTCTATAGACCATTTCACAAGATGTAAACAACACTGGTCCAGAAGCACTTCCTGTTTCAGTTTTTTAACACTACATAAAAGCTGGGATAAAATACAACCAACAGAACATTTAAAACTGAATCAAAAAGTTAAACAAACATCTTTAAGATGTTTTCTTTACATGTGAAATAAAGAAAACAGTTACAAACTGAAACAGGAAGTGCTTCTGGACCAGTGTTGTTTACATCTTGTGAAATGGTCTATAGGGATTTACTTTATTTCAAAACCACCCCAGTCATTCTAGAATGATTCATTCTTTCCAAATAGAGCTATGGTTTTATCGCAATATATCGCATCTGTAAATATCGGTATCGGCCACAACAGCAATATTAATATCGGTTATCGGTATCGGCCACAATTTTCACATCGTTGCATCACTATTTTTTTTTTCTATGTGTGTGGGATGGCGGATTGTTGTCTTTCGGGAGCAGGTGCTCTATGCTAATGTTAATTGATTGAGTCAAATGATTCCAGATACCAGTCTCAGATCTCTACTGTAAAACTCATTTACCCTTGTACAATCGCTCCCATCAGTGAATACTACATTCAGCAGTACATACTCCAGAATTATCTCCATACACCAAACAAAAGAGCACAGAAAGTCACACTTTTGTTTCATGGCATTATCAGGTAGTTGTAAACTTTTTGTTAGGACCTTGCTCTAGACTGGGATTACATTCTTCTCAGTGAGCTGTTCCCCACCTTTTCTCATTCTTTAAAAAATTCACAGTCACCCTTTAAGTCCATCTTCTTCAATATTGTCTTTTATAACTTTAGACATCCAGACATCTGAGAAAATTAAAAATAGAGGTGTTATAGAACGGACAGGCAGGGTGACTTTGCCTTTAAGAAGCACTGGGGACATGGGGGTTTGCCATTTGAAATGTACATCTTTGATTTCTGGTCGGCTTGTGCTTGAGACACGGCTCTTTGTTTTATATTCACAAACAGAAGTCCAAGCTTTCGTGGGGTTCTCAGACAAATTGAAAAGGGTTCAGGTAATAAGAAGCGCACACTTGAGAATCACATTCCTTGAATAAAGGATAAGGCTTTGTTGAGCACAGTCACTGTAAGACATTTTCAAAGGTGGCATTGCTATACAGGAAGGACAACTAAAAGTCAGTGCCTCAGAAAACTTGAGGATGCTTTTATTTATTTATAAATATATTCTAGGCTATGTAAAATGTCTATATTTTCACTTTACAACCCTATACGGACACACTGAAGCTCGAATCGCCATTGCTAGTAGATTTTTATTTTACCCACCATACTTTTTCCATGGAATGCACAATCAATGCAAATAAAAAAATGCTACATAAATGTAATATACATATAAAATATAAATTTCAAACACTATTAAAGACAAGTAATCAGTCTATGTTAAAATAAAAACAAATGAACACAATATAAAAAATAATAGATGTAAATGAAATTTACTGCTTTTCAGGTTTTTCAGTCAGATCTAACAGTTGTTAGACAAAGATATGATAGATTCAAGTGAGTGATTTTTAGCAGTGAGTCTGTTGTTTGATTAACATTAAAATTCTTAAAAACAGTCTTTGGTCGGATTCACATATATCGCCTAAAAACGCGTAGAAAACGCTGGGCGCGCCGCATTCTCCATTTTCCAAAGCGCCAGGGCGGTTGCGCTTCAGTTGGTTCTTGTCACATGACCTATTGTGTGCGACTGGTGCGCTTGCGGTATTCTGAAAAGTTGAGATGTTTTTAGCTCGGCGCGGACGCGCATGGAAAAAACGAGCGCGTCGCACCGCGACCGCATCGCTTCCATTATGAGTGCGCATACCGCGCGCCTACATTTGAAATAATGAACTTGAGCGCGCAAAAGAAGCGATATGTGAACTGGCCCTTTATCAACTGTTGTTTATGTTCACTTAATCTAACTTAATTACGTATGTTTACTAGGATACTTGCCAAGATGGCATTCTGACATAATTTTGCGTGAAATTGTCAGTTCAAGCGCAAGACATAAAAGATCTCAATTCAGTATTCACGTGTTGTCAGACACATGTGAGTTATCCTTTGCTTCTTCTTGCTAAAAAAACACGTGCAACTGATAAACCTTCATAAAAATGCAGCACTGGCCGATCACAGCACGAACCGCAAATAATGTTTGATATTCTTTTTAGATTTTTTCATGTTAATGTAAATGTCAAATATGACACAACAGGCTTTTGGGGAATATTTTCATCATTGATTTGCAATGAATGGTATATATGAGCAATAAAAGCTTGATAAATGTGTTTGTGTGTGTGTGAGAAATAAGATTCTCAACAAATATCACATTTTAGGCCTGTTACATCAGGACTTTTTGGCTGATATATATGCAATTCATTGCGAATCATTGATAATTGAGAGATGGACAAATAATTGTTCTATGTAAAAAAAAAAGATATATAATAAAAATATTTATTGTAGCAGTATCAGTTTTTCCCGTGGTATCGAAGATGGAATCGAATATCAATATATTTTCAAGGTATCATATCAAAGTAAGAAATTGCAGTATTGTGACAAGTTACGCTAATTTAGGGTGACACAAGAGACCTCCACATAGTGTAAGAGTGTTGCTAACCCTGTCAGAGTTTACTTTTTGCAGAAATGACTTGGAGACATGTTATCCCTAACTCAGCTGGAATAACTCTCAAATTTAACCCCTTCCAACCACACCACCCTACCATTATAACATGAATTATAGAAAGTAAAGCAAATCTGATCTGGCTTTGCAAGTTTGCAGACAGTGATAAGTGATGTTTTTGTACTTTTATTCATTGAAAAAAATTTTTTTTGGGGGGGTGTGGAAGAAAAGAGAAGGAAAACTAGAGATCTATAACTGGATTATGTAATTAAAAGCCATATTTCTCAGTCCAAACAGATAACAAAATCCTATTCTTTGACATAAATAGATGTCTGCAATATCAAAGTTGATTGTCTGACAACTGGGTAAATCACAACTGCAGCAGTTTAGATGATGCCACTGTCATTTGAGAGAAGCAAATATCTTTCTTGCTGTAGTGGAGAAAGAGGCCGTCACATCAGGGTAATTTAAATTTTGCATAACCATCCAACAGTGCAACATAAACCTTCAGATCTGGAGATGGGTAATTGAATGCAGCATATGTGTCTTGATTTGTCATCAGTGACGCGTGCGGCAGCGATACACATGGTGACGTGTAAGCGCATTAGCTTAGAGGAAATCGAACTGATTTGCATGCATGCTCATAACCACATTTACAGGATTTGGTATAGCATCGCAGTCGCAAATGATAGATGATTGTTTGTCACAATTACAGCCTTAGGAAAATGGCGGGGGTGTTTTTGACAGTGACTCGGGCATATTATGTCACATTTTTGACTCGCTGTTAGGACGTTTGTTATGGGTTAGATATTCTGTTACTGTGCTGGTGTTGAAATGTAGGTTGAGCTCACAAAGTACGTGAACATGAATTTGAGGCTTTGTGTAAATTCTTGTTTTATTATATTTATAAAACATTAATATGAACATCTATAGACAACTTATGCACATTTTTTGTTTGTTTGCTTAAGTAGGTAATATAGTTGTCCACATTGTAGGGCTCTAAGGCCATTCAGATGGATATTGTATAATATAAATTGAGTTCTGATAAATAAATACGCATATAGTGTTTTCATACATTGCATACTTCATTCAGGAAAGATTTTCTGCTAGCAGGTGCCTGGCCAAGCCTTTTTTCCCCTTTCATCCATACTCCTGCTATCCTGCGGGTTTTTTTTAGGGGAATAGAATGTGAATGTCATGTGGGTGCAGGTGACAGCAAATTGTATAATCGGCAGTTGGTCGTATGAGGTGATCATAATTGGACTCAATTTACAGTTGTAGACAATTTCATTGTAATTTAGAAATTCCACTCTGAAAGTGAACTTTCAGTTAACAATGAAAGTTAAATGGAAGTGATTTGACTGGCCTGCCAAGCCCTTAGGAATGGGAACGAGAGACAGACAAGATAAGAATGGAAGAAAGCCTGATATATAGCCCTGCCTTAATTGCCCCTGAACAAATTGTATTCCCTTTTTCTTTTATCTTTAGCCAGCATTTGTGCTTTTTACTGTTCTTTTGAACAGCCAGGATCAGGGTGGCTGTGTACTTTATTGGGTAGTTAAAGTCTTAATAAAGCTTAGCATCAGTTTCCCTTAAACCCCCTGAGACTGGACTTCCACTACTGAAACACCTGAAATCTGATGATTCTCATTACAATGTCACTATTTCTTTTTTTCCCCTCACAGTACGCTTGGCCCATTAATTCACATTTTCATTCATCTAACATTTTTACCTTCATTCTGCAAGTTGCTCATTAGTCGCTCTTTGCAGTCTGAATAATTGGTGCCCATTAATTAATGATCCTTGTTATATGCTCTGTATAAAGAATGTAGAAGAACTGCTGAAGATAATCTAATATTAAATTGTATATCCTTATTATTGTAATAGTGCACTGAGCCCTATATTAACATGATTGCATCAATACATCTTGGGTATTGATTAATTACATTTATCATTGAAATAATGGTATTGGAATGCTTTTACTGTCTCCTATTTCTAATCTTTATTGCACCGTTGTTGTTTTTTTTTTTTTTTTTTTTTTTTTGCAGATGAACATGGACATTTGAAAATATACCTGCCCAAAAAGCTGCTTGAATGTCTACCAAAATGCTCCACATTGCCAAAAGAGAGACACAGGTGGAACACCAATGAGGTAAGGTCACCTCTCTCCGCCATCTGCTGTTGTCTTTTTTTAACTCCTGCTGACTTCATAGAGATAAAACCTCGTTTATTTTAAGCAGTGAAACGGACACAATGTGTTAATAGAAACCTCTCTAGGGATTCTGCAGTCAGTTCAGATATTAACAGCAACTGCGTGATTGCCTTATTTTTGTGGCAGGAGGAAGTTGCATATTTTCCGTGGTGTGCTTGCAAAGGATTTTCACTAGGTGGACATAGATTTAGTGTTGTAGGAAACAGCAGGTTCATAAAGCTTTTTGTATTAATACAAAGATCTAATTTCTACATTAATGCAAATATAAATTTGAAATAGTTTATGATCAACTCATAAAACATTTATGTTTTGGCCTTCAATATTGTAGCTCATATTCTGTTACTTTTTTGGTAGTGAATTACCGAGCAGTTTGTAAGTTAAAACTCAAAAACGTATATCATTTTTGCCCATCTGTTTCGGCATCACATTTATTCACAGATGTTTTAATTCCCTGGGAATATAGATGAGATGTGATTATTTATTTATTTATGTTTAAGCTGGTGTGTCGAGAAAAACTGCCAATGGACATTATATATACAGTATAGTGCTAATTCAGAGTAGAACATGATCTCTGAATTTCCTTAGACCTTCTTTTCATCTCAGCTCGACTCAATCTGTAGTTGTGGAAAGCTTAGTCTCGCCAATCGTAACATTTTCAGGACTCCTTGAAAATTTTCCCAGGGGTCAAAGCACTGTGTGATTGTATATTAACAATTCATGGAGGAAGCGAACAATATTTTAGGATTTCAATCAAGCTTGGTTCAGTTGTTTATTGACTTTCAGTAGATGCTGACATGCTATTTCAGACCCCACTGTGCCACTGCATAGAAGCTCCGCTATCTAACAAAGCCATATACCTAATAATCTACATGAGAATGTGTTTTAAGTATGTTTATCACAGCCTGAAGGCATTTCAGACACAATGCATCAAACAAATAAGAAAAGATAACAAGCCTCTTAGATTTCGGTATTGAAAAGGAAAATGTAAAATGTTTTTATTTGTATGACTGTGGGTGGAAAAATCAGAGACTGTTTGCTCCAGCTGTCCTTGACCTATAGGCCAGCCATTTTAAATTAGTTCATTTCTTTTCAGTGCAGCTACTTTATCATTTAATGGAAATGAGACGGTGAGTTGCTTGATTTTAACATTTTATTTGTTGTTCGTGTTCAGTCTGTTGTGCGGCACGACTCCCTCTGTGTGGAGGCTGCGGGGAGATTGAAACTAAACATTGTTTCACTGCCGTAAGCTAGAGGGATTTTGAATGACTGAGTTTCTCTAAGGAGATTCATAAACTCATAGCTCAGTAAGGCGATGCAGTTTTATTACAATTGATCCCATTGAAGCACGCATGGGTTTCACACAGTAAGTGACTGGCATCAGAGAACAGGAGGCAAAGAAACCTTGTGTGTGCATGTCAAGTGTTTTGTGGGGTTTTCTTTCTTTTCTTTAAAAGATTCTCCTCCTCAAATTAATGACATCCTTTCAAGCAGGCATGCAGGTAAAGAGAGAGATGGGTTAGTAAGCATGCCTGCATTGCTGCTCAGTAATATCAAAATGCCTGCCACAGCCACATACATAACTCACATGTCACCTTTACATCAATTTCAGCTCTGCCAAAAGTCCCCAGTGACAAATCACTGACACGACCCTCTTAAAGGGATATTTATGAATTGAATACACTGCTTTATCCCTCTTCGTATTCTTTATAGAGTGACAAGTAGCTTTTTTGAAGGTAGAGAGGTATGGATCTGAATGGCAATGCTGAAATAGACGTTGAAAGCACCAGGCGTTGAATGTTTGTGTCTTGTCAGATTTAGCTCTGAATGTTTTCCCTCTGCGGTTCTGGTAACCAGAGATTCAGTTTCGTTTTGTTGAATAGTTTGTCTTTGAAGTGCAAATACGGCATTGTGGGATATAGTTGATTGTTTGGCTTTATTTCCATGTAATATGATGCAATGCTCCGAGCAGTAAAATTTGAACTATGTATGTGCACTTGTCATTCAAAGCCTCTCAGTTTATATCAGGCATGCTGTGTGTTTGTACATATTTGTGGTCTGGTTTAGATTGATACAAGAATATTGCTTCAGATCAGCGGCTGCCTTCCTAATTGAAGCTGATGGTTTAACGCGTTTGACCTGCGGTGTTGCGCTTGCAGTCAAAATTAATTAATGTGTTTTTTGGAATTGATTAAAAAATGTCAGCACTTATTGTGAAATGATGTCATATTCATCCTAGTATGTGAAGTGAAAGAAAGGTTTACAGAAAGAAATCAGGAACTATTTCAGGAAGTTGTTTTATGTTTTACCCCCAATTTTTTTTTAAAGGAAACAAAATATATAAGTTGTGTTAATTTGTACGAATGATTGTCGATCGATGTTCCCATATAGCCTATGAAGAAGTTGGACAGAAGAAGATTTTTGCAGCAGTGCTTTTTACTCACCTCACTTGTATCTCTCTTCACAATAACACAGTGCTCCTTCTTTTTTAATCCCATTATACTTACTAAATAAAAGTAAATTCAGTTATAAAAAAACAAACCTAGATTCTATATTTCTCAATCTGCATACAAATGCTTGGAAAATGCAAAATCTAAACCCAATACAAATTTGAGATAATGAAATATAATAACATTACCCACTTTTTATTGACTTAGTCTTCTATATATAACAAAGATTTCTAAAGTAAATTATCGTAATACTATTATAGTGTTTCTTCAACTACAGGTTCTTTTAGGTCCCAGTGTTTGATATTTATCTCTTTCTGTAGTAAGGCTACTTTAAAACTTTTTTAACTAAGATTTTTATTTTTCACGACTTTGTAAATTCCTGTTATGTACAGATTTGAATGTTTTATCCTTGTCACAGACTTTCAATTTATGTAAATCTGTTAATATTTTTTTCAAAGTTTTTATAATCTTCACATTGTGTGAACAATGCAAATAGGGCTAGACATAGTTGTTGTTGTTAATGGTGTTTTTTTAAAGAGTTCACTGTGTTAAAAGTGGCCACAGTTGAAGAAACACATATTCATGTTGAATAAAATGTTGAATATAGTAAAAAGGGATATATGATCCTTAATGAAGACAAGAATGGTTGGGACAACCTTTCCCAAAAAGCAAGGGCATTTGTGTGTCATGTGTGCCAGGCAGACACTGAGGCTAGAGTGAGTCACTGATGGCTGACTGAGTGGTATTAAGCGGTCTCATTGCTGCTGATTGCGTGACTCTTACTGAAAGTGACACCTCCTGTATTTCCTCTAAATCCCTCCTGCTGCTCTTTTTTTTTTGTTTTTGTTTTTTGATGGAAATAATGTCTTGGTAACTATGAGGGTTCAATTTAAGTTTATGTGGTCTGGAAATATACAGGATTAACTCCCCAATTTTGTCAGCTCACATTATGTTATGTGCTTTGTTTTTTACTCTCACAAAGTCTATTGTTGTTTGAGTTTCTCTCATGTAACATGCAATTTTCCATTTTGAAGTGCAGTCAAATTCAGATGACAGCGTAACTTCTAATGCTGTCCAGACAAGTCAGGCTAGATGGAGTGCAGCGGTCATATGTGGGAGCCCATCTCTCCTCTACTGGATGTTTAGTGCTTTAGGCCATATTTGTATCTGTCGAATTTTCTGCGTGTGGATTCATAGGGAGAATGTTAGTTGGAATAATTTCAAACATTTGCTCAAAAGTTATAAACCATTTATAAACCAATCTACTCAAAAAGAGGGAGATGCCACGAGGAGGAGTTAAGCAGCATGTAGGTGGTTGAAAAGAGGTGATTGCACAAAGGCATTGCTCTGCTTTTAAACTGTCAGAGCGAGATTTGAAGACAATATGGGTCAAGGAATGACAATTTATTTAACTGGAGCAACCACAACACCACAGTCCTTATAACAAAGAAAACAGGCTAAACAATAAAGGCAGATAACAGATTTTGAAGCAGACATGAAAACTAATTAGAAAGGGGTTCTATGAGATCTGACAATGGCTTCCAGGAAAAGAAATCAAGGGAACAGGTTTGTTCAGGTGGGATACTGTACAGAGAGTTCTAGTATCTGATGTTTGGCTTTTCTAACATAAATTGATCCACATGTGGAGAGTATCATTGTTATTTTCAATGGAAACAGTACTCAGTGGCCTTTGAGACAATTCCATAGAAACTTCCTTCTCAGGTTCTTTTCAAAAGGTTTTATCTTTCTTTTAATACTTTAATACTTGATTTCTAGGACACCATATTGGGAGGAGGTAACCCTTGATTTCCAAACTCTATAGTTTGATTATAGTTTATAGTTTGACTCTATCAGAGTGCATATCTCACCTAAATTTAGAAGTACACTCTCCGTTCTGCTTGACATAGTCCTTCTCATGTTGAAATGGCATGTATGTTTAGTTGGCTTGAGAACCAGTGAGGTTAAAAAATAAATAAAAATAATGATGACATGTCAAACTTTTAAGATGGTTTCTCATCAAAAAAGGGCATCTAGCATGTGGAAAGTGTCAGCAGTGCTATCAGAAGACCGAAAAAGTTTCTTTCTCTGGAAGGGACCCTCTGGGAGAGGGAGACAGGCAGGAAAGAGGAGCTAAGCTAGTGTGACTCTCAGCCTCTAATGAGTGGCAGCCACTAAAGACCTGTGAACCTTCCCTCAGCTCTGAACCGAAGCCCAACTGTGGGATGAGAGCGCATCAGCTCAGTCGCTCTAAGGACTTCTACACATTTAATGCCCTGTCATCAGGACTAATCCTCTCTGCCCGGCACTGCTGTGGCACGGTGCCCGTGTGCAATATGCCTCTGCTCCTGGTGGGGTGCCATTGTTGGACGCACATGGTACTGGAGCAGCCCAGGGAGAGTCGTGGGCAGAGAGAACAGAATCTTCCGGTTACAGTCACGTCCGGCTTCAACGTCCAGGGAGAGGGTTCTGATTACGCAGGATGTGGAGAGGCTG